CCCTGATTCTTGTTTCTTCCTTCTAGCTTTTATCAAACCACTGTCTCTGCTCTTTAACTCTTGGTCTTGTTCTTCTCACTTTTCCTAGCTCTTGGCCTCTGGTTCCTGATTGTCACATTACCCAGCCACTCTGTAGCATGATTCCTGCTACCTGCCACCATTCCCTTTCTGGGCCCAATAGCTGCCTTATATTTGATGTTCATTAAATATTTATCGTGTGACTTCTTTATGCTAGGCAGTGTTCTGGAAGAAACAATACTGAACAACGTATATAAAAACCCTCACTCTTGTAGGACTTACATTCTATTGAGGAAAGAGGCACCATACACAAAACAAGTAATAAAATATGTAAAATAAATAAAATACGCTCAGGGTCCTTGCTTCAGGAAGCAGCGTTATAGCCTCATGGGAATAGAAGCTGGTATAGTCCATGGGACCCAGTGGTGATGCCTCAACACATGATTTCTAACCTCTCAGCTGCTCTGGACAGAAACAGATGTGCCCTCCAATAGCATGAGATGGTACATGGGCTGGTCATGAGCCAGCTGGTTTTCTGGGGGCTTCTTGGCAACTCTGTGGAAAGCATTTAGTTGTGGGTCTGAAAGGAGAAATGAAGAGTTAAAAAGAATCCAGGATTTTTTTTCACAACAAGAAGGAAAGACATTCCAAAACTCTTCCAAATAGACAGCTGTGTTACAAGGGAGTGTGGGGGAGTTACCACCTCTCCATGCGTTTTCGTCTCTCCACCCCCAGCCCACCCCCGTGTCCTTACCTTAATTCAGTCTTACGTCATTCTTCACCTAAACTGCTGTGACAGCCTCTTAAACATCACCTTGTCTTCATTTTTGTTACTTCTGTATTTTTTCCCAAACAAGTGCTAGAGTAGTCTTCCCAAAGTGGGGGTCTGCTCCTCCTCCTCTCTGCCATTGCCCCAGCAAGGCCTTCACATCCCCGAAGTCTGGCCTGTGTTTCTCCAACTTCGTCTTTCCTTGCTCCAGCCATACCAGACTACTTGTAGCCGTGGCATTCTTTTCCTTGTCTCTAAGCATGTTGTACTCCGTGCCTGTAATGTTTTACTCCATCATTCCTTTGCTTAGCTACTTGGTTCAGGTGTGAGCTCACCGGGAAGCTTTCTGTGGTCCTCCCCAGCTGGGTCAGCTACTCCCCCACGTGCTTTTGTGCCTCCCTATACCTCCCTCTGTCACAGCACACACACTCCATTGTTTTGAGTTTATATACTTTTTTTTAACCCCTTTTCAGACCATTTTCTCTATTACATATTCCCCATTGTCAATTTTTACCTTCCATATCTATGGGAGGAGGGGCAACAAAGTCATCAATCTACTTCCTGGTGAATTGGGGTGATGTTATAGATGAAAGGTTTAAACTTATTTATATCAGTACAAAGTTTTGGCAGTAGATTTACAATAACAAATTAACAGGCAAAAAAGGGCATAAGGAACAACTACAACTATAAGGATTGACAAAGTGACATGGAGGATACCTGACGAGAGATTTTACCCCACTTGGTATCTAAGACACCAGTAGGACCGTGGGTCCTTCCTGTTGCCTTGCACGTAATGTCTAATACAGGACTCAGAAAGAAACATGGGACCTCTGAGTGGAGCTATTAGTTGCACCCTGTAGATGATCCGAGAGACTGGCATCTGCAAATTCAAAAATCATGTACAGAGCTACTTGCACCAAACAAGGTTTAGGGTAACACACCCAGCAATAAGACAGATCAACAGAAGAGGTGATAGCCCAGGTAAATACTCACTAAGGAGTTGTCCCTCTCTCCTATAGACAGAACAAATAATCAAAGAAAGATTAATGAAAATACCATCATTTTCATCTTTTTCTTTTTTCTCAAACAGATACTTTAAATCACCTAAAGGCTGGCCCCTCCACCAGGGGCTACACTGCTTTACTTTGGTATATGGGCCCAAGGTTTCACTTGTGACAATTTCAACGAGGTGTGAGTTGTTAGAGGCACTTCATAGGGTCCTTTTCACTTTTCTGATTCCAATTGGAGCAGGGACCTGAAAGAGGCAAACTCGTGTATAGTGGTCAACACCTGACCCATTCATTTGACATATTGTTTTATTCTATTTTCTTTTACTCCTGATTATATTACCGTACTTACCTCGGGGAGTTAGGAAGGGTCTCTCATAAACTATTTTTAGGGGCTTAGCTTAAGCCTGCTTCTAAAGGGCTGCCCTTATCCAGAGGAGGGCAAGCAGCAATACCTTATCCCACTTTAGGTGAGTTCCGTATGATTTCCATT